GCAGAGGCCACGATGCCTGTAGTCCCAAGCCTGCCTATCAGTGATGTATCCACCCTGGCTTTGGGGTGCCTCTTTGTCTCTCTCTTTGTCTCCTTTGTCTCTTTCTGTGTATTCTTGATATATATGAATCGCCGTCAGGTATCCTCTCCTCGTGAACTGAACCCCAATGTCGAGGCGGGTCCCCGACAGGTTTAATGAGACATGCAAAGGGGATTCAAACAGGTTCATAGGAAAATGGAATTAAAAGACCTAAATGTTAATGCTAAAAATATAAAGTTCCTAGAAGATAACATAAGGACAATACCACGCATAAACAAAAGGAGATAAATCACACAACCAAAATCTCTTAAAAATTAAATATGTATGCTTACCTAAAGAGTAAAACAAGAATCTACAGACTAGAGAAAAAATATTGGGGAGTGACATATCTGAAAAGGGTCTAAGCTCCCAAATATTCAGAAAACTTCAACAACAAAAAGACAACCAAGTGAAAAAAAAAAAGGGCAAGGAAATGAACATACACTTCACCAAAGAGGACATTCACATAGCCAGCAAATACAAAAAGATATTTGTAATCCTTATCTACTAGAAATACAAAAAAAAAACAAGAGCCACCATCGCAGCTCTACAAAAATGGCTCTGATTAAAACAAATACACACAGATAATAACAAATGCTAGTAAGGTTATGGGAAAATTGGAAGATTTTATCCATTGCTGATGAGAATGTAAAATGAAATAACCACTATGGAAAAAGTAATCCCAATCCTACATAGATCTTCAAGATCTAATAGCAGTGATATGATATACACGGTTGTTGTTGTTGTTATTAACTGCCGTCAAGTCAGTTCCAACCCATAGCAACCCAGTATAAGGGTTCTGAGGAGTGGCTGGTGAGCTTGAACCTTGCAATTCAAGCAACTTTGCAGTCTAGTGCGTTAACCCGTAGCGCCACACCAGGACTCCTAGACACATAGACACATGCAGTAAGTTACACATAGCAAAAAGACAGAAACAACCTGAGTGCCTATCAACAAAAGATAGATTAACAAAATGTGGTATATCCTATATATAATGGAATACAGCAGTTATAAAGAATAATGCAAATCATCTTATAATACAGATGAATCCAGAGGACATTATACTAAATAAGATAAAGGTTGTTGTTGTTGTTATGTGCCGTGGAGTCGGTTCCGACTCATAGCGACCCTGTACAGGGTTTCCAAGGCTGTAAATCTTTACGGGAGCAGAAAGTCTCATCATTCTCCTACGGAACAGCTGATAGTTTCGAACTGCTGACCTTGCGGTTCACAGCCCGATTCGTAACCACTACACTATCAGAGCTCCTTGATATAAACTTTATATATAAATATATGTTTTTGTTGTTGTTATATGCCGTCGAGTCGGTTCTGACCCATAGCGACCCTGTATAGGGTTTCCAAGTCTGTAAATCTTTATGGAAGCAGAAAGACTCATCTTTCTCCCCTAGAGCGGCTGGTAGTTTCGAACTGCTGACCTTAAGGTTCGCAGCCTGACTCGTAACCACTATGCTACCAGAGATCCATATATATACATACATGTTTAAGTTTTACTGACTTTGCTTCTCTAGAGAATCCGTCCTGAACCAGGCACAAATATGGATCTTTTCCAAATTCTTAGCATAGACGACTGAGAACCTCCAGCGCTACATCACTTTGTTGAAATATTTCAATTTGTGTTCCATCTATTCATAAGAAACCTTTATTAAATAAAAATATCAACATGTGAAACTACTGCTTCTCAACATAACCTACACTTAGGTCTATCTATTTCTGGAGGTGGTAATGCCATCTCTTAAATCCTTCCCCAAAAAGTGGTATTGATTTATATCACCCACATCAAGATGGCAATTTTGGCATCCTTGAGGGAGTCAAATCATGTTCATTGACAATATTCTTTGAGTTTGGGGAGCTAAAAGAGAAGTCTGAAGAGGCATGATCAGGGCTATAGTGTAAATGGGGTTAAGGTTTTCCATAAAATTCTTGTAGAACAGTCTTTGCAAAGCTCCTCAAAGACTGAGCAGGCACATTGCTGTGACAGAAAACAAATTCTTCAGCATAACTTTCCTGGCCTTTTTCTAAAAGCAGTTTTCAATTTTCTTACACCATCTTCCTCTTTTTTAAAAAGCCCCTGTGACTGTCCTGTGTTCAAGAAAATCGATTAAAATTACCCCTGTAGAATAAAAACAAAAACAGTTGCTGACCTGAGCAGACCTCTCTGCCTTAAATTGAACTGGCTTAGAAGCGACTGTTTTGACAGGATTTTGCTCTCTGGATCGTATTAGTACATTCAAGATTATAAACTTCAACCTTGGTTAAAAGACCGATGGAACAATCAGCTGTTTAAGTTAGCTGATCTTCATGCAATTCTTTTGGTACCAATCGAGCCAAAAATTTACTGAGCCCAAGATGTTTGCTTAAAATTGAAAACGCCAAGCCATATGCAATCCCAGGTTCAACAATGGTAATGATACAGTCTTCATTCACCAGTTTCTCAACTTTAGTCACAGTTTCTTAATTCATCAAGGTTAACGATCTTCCCACTCTTGACTCATTTTTGAGGTCTTCGTGGCCTTCACAAACACTTTATGTACCTAAAAACTTGTTTTATTTGGGGCAGCATTCTGGTGAACTTGTTGCAAAGCTTCAATGATTTGGGAAGATATCTACATAAATTTTGTTAAAAATCTGACTTTAGCTCTGATCTCAAAGTAGTTGTTTTTTTCCCCCACAGCATAAAAAGTATCCTTTTTAAAGGCACCCTAACAAGACTACTGTTGTTGAGTGCTGTCAAGTCGGTTACCACTCATAAAGACCCTTTATAGGATTTCCAAGGAGTGGCTGGTGAGCTTGAACCATCGACCTTGCAGTTCAAACTGATCTTGCAGTCCAGCGCATTAATCCACGGCACCACACCAGAACTCCCTAACAAGACGAAGACACCTATATTACCAAAATAACTTATCTACAGCCACCCACAGACCACAGAGACATGTTTAAACATGTCTTATTGGGAATAAGCCTCTGCATGTATGATCTGGAATTCTAATAGCAAAACTTTTGACTTATAAATAAAATATTGTAAACATTAAAAAGGTTGAATATTTTACTGCAAAGGTTCACAATATACTGTTGTGGGGGGAAATAACAATTTTAGTTTTGTTTTATAAAAATCTATAGATTCTGTGTGTGTGTGGCACGCTGCAGGATAATACACTGAACCAGAAGGTCAGGGGTTCAAACTCACCAGCTGCTCCTCGGAAACCATATACAAGATTTCTATGAGTCAGAACTGGCTCAACGGCAATTAACAACAACATACAGGTAAGACTGGAAGCCATGATCAGTCATGCTATTGTTGGTACATTGAGGGGATTGCAATCATATGAGGCAACGTCTATAATTTGTTGAATATAAAACTGATGATCTGCTCTGTAAACCTTCACTCAATTCACAAATTTAAAAAAAATAAAAACAAAGACACACAAGATGGAAAAAAAACAACCTTGTGGGCAGTGTTTTTAATTTAATTTTTAAAGTTGACTCTTACTAATACCAAGTTGAAAATTTAAATTTAAATTTGATAGTCTCCTAAAATAAATACCAAGGAGCTCTGGTAGCATAGTGGTTACGAATTGGGCTGCGAACCACAAGGTCAGCAGTTCGAAACTACCAGCTGTTTCGCGGGAGAAAGATGAGGCTTTCTGCTCCCGTAAAGATTTACAACCTCGGAAACCCTGTACAGGGTCGCTATGAGTCGAAACCGACTCCATGGCACATAACAACAACAACAACAACAACAAAATAAATAAATACCACTGTTGTGATAAAGGAAAAAAGGTATAGCAAACACAAACTAAAGACTGCTTTTAAAATTCGGCCTGGCTTC